AATGCACCAATGAGAGTTCTCATGTAGAAGAAAACCTACTAATGGTTCAACGGGTGATTTGATTTAAAAAAAATAAAAGGTATCTTGTAGTATTCAACACATCAAGCTAAATTTCACAAACGTCTTTATTTTTATTTTATGCTGCCAAAGTTTAAAGCAAACTAGAGATGGGTTAAAGTTTATACAGCAGCGTCTCATTTCTCTCACTGTGTGCGTCTTTGTGTCTCTTTGCATCTTGTTTCTTGTTATAAACCAAAGAGCTCTTACAGTGTTTGGCTGTGATTCTGTCTCCATAAATATTAAATATTCAGTAAAATATAGAATAGAATAGAATAGAATAGAATAGAATAGAATAGAATGCCTTTATTGTCACTATACACATGTACAATGAGATTGAGAGCAGCTCCTTCAGTGCCATATATAATAAAGTACAAAATAAAGAGCAAAAAAATGAAAATGAAAAAATGAATATGTCAGTTTATTACATATTTTTTTCACAACTGTTTCTAAAGGAATCCTCATTTTTTCCTTTAGTTCCTTTTCACACGTGTAGGTTTATAATCATTTGTCTTCACCAAAAGGTCTGAAATGAATCCAACAACAATAAAAATGAGCAAAACGTGAGACATGTTCTTCCAAACTGCAGCGCTGCCATCTAGCGGCTGGAAGCTGCACCAACTATTTATATTTATAAAGATGTCTGTGCAATTTTAACTTGATGTTTCAGATGCTTTCTGATTTTTTTATTTTTTTTCAGTTGACCCACTTTCAGAAGGTATTTTCAGACTCTGGAATTGGAGGCTGTTTGAACCACAGTCTCTCAGGGAATATAAAAAACAAATCTAAAAAATTAAAAAAAATCTTTGTTATATTTGTTGAACCTCCAAAAGTCTGTTCCTGGATCAGACTGTCTGCCAATATTTCAGCTTCTGTGGTGCAACTTGTCAAAACAGTTGAATTAATAATAGAAGTTAAAGGACATAACTTTTTTTTTTTGTGACCAAGTATTTCCTATTATAAAGTGCTCTACATGTTTGGTTTTGTGTTATTGTGACAAGCAGCTACATTTGGTTCAATCGTTGACTTCTGTGTTATTAATGTTTCTGTTAATGAGCTCAAAGATGGAACTTTTCATTCATTTACTAACATATTTCAACTGACCCATATTCAGTGATTATTTGATGTATTTGTCTGATATTGCAGATTCTGAATCCATGGCATGATGAGAAATAACAGTGAAACCTTCAGGTTTTTATCTTTCATCGTTCCTCAGATATTGTTGTTCACATTTCAACGTGTTGCCGGCCAGCCTGCAGTTCCACCTGCGGCCTGTCGCGGCGCTGCAGCAGCTTTGACCGTCAGTTGCACCAGAAGAAGAGTTTGAGCGCGGGGAGTTTGACTCGTTAGCTCGAGGCTACAAACAGTTAGCATCCGCGCCGCTCTGTCCGCCAGGTGAGCGTTTTAGTGTCTCTTCTCCTGAAACAACCGTAAAGCTTCGTGTTAACGTCCCGGTTTAGTCTCAGATGTAAATTTTATAAACGTTAAAAGAATCAAACCTTTAAATTTGCTTCATATTTCTGCTCTCAGGTCGCTGTTCCCGGCGGCGACATTCAGCCAGACTGGGTTAAAAAAATCCGTCATTTCTGCGTTTACTTTCGTTTTTGGGCAAATTGAATGTGTTACAACACTGGTTACGATATTTAAATAACCAGCAGGATGCTGTGATGTATTCGGCGCGTGATGTAATCCGCAAAGCTGCTAATTTTCTACATAACTTACCGTCAAAGTTGTTTCTCAGTGATGACAACAAGCTGACAGATAACTACCTGTAACCTGTGGCTGTCTGTGAAGGTTCTCAGTCATCCAGGTCATGGTTGTTCTGGTAGACCAGAGTTTGCATACTGGGACCTGTAGACGAACTAAACAGATAGTTAACAGATGTTGCTCAACACGGTGATAATGTTGGAGAGGTGTGAAGTATTTGGTTTAACAGGTGACGGTAGCGAACATAAATGTGTAGATTTCTGAGCGGACTCTGGTGCAGCTGCTCTGTGCTGCGGTTTACTGAAGGTTTGCATTAATACCTGAAAATATGAACTCTAAAAAGTGACTAAATTGCAGCAGTTAATATAGAAAACGCACAAACAAAGAGCTTAGAGATGCTTAGTCTGGGTTTTCTCCACGTTTCAGAGGGAAATGCTGCAAATCTTCACATCAGTTCACCAAGAAAATACCAAAGTAGTTTTCAGTGAAGACTGGAGCGTGTTTGGTTTCTTTCTTCTTCAGACTTCAACACAGGGAGACACATTTAAAAACTGATTAAAAAGAAAAGAACCGTGTGGGAGATGTTTTCAGGCTGATTCAGGATTTTATTTGAATGCAGATGCAGTTTTTCTCTCAGCAGATGAGCTCATTTCCTGGTTAGAGATGTCAGTTATTGACCGTTTTCTGGTATTTTAGAGACCAACGTGATCAACTAAAGCATTAAACATCTTTTCTTGACATCTCATCTGTGTTTCGTTGCTGATTTCTCCTCCTGTGAGGCTTCAGATGTGCGACAGAGTTCCTGTGCTGTCACCAGATTGAACTGAAAACCGACACTGAGGAGTTTTTAACGTCCCGCTTTGTGTTGTGGCCTCGTCCCTGCAGGAGTCATGGAGTCGACTCAGAGCCGCTACGCCCACCTGCTGCAGCCCATCAGAGAGCTCACCAAGAACTGGGACGTGGACCTGGCGTCTGAGCTCAACGACTACCTGGAGGAGGTGATACAGAAACTAAACGAGCACTGACGAGCAGACGAGATGCATTAATTGGTTCATTAATCAGTGATAAATGCAGGTTCTAACGGCCGTGTGTGTCTGCAGCTGGACGACATGTGCATCACCTTCGATGGAGGAAGAACCAGGCTGAACTTTGCAGAAGCTGCGCTGCTGATCCAGGGTTCAGCCAGCATCTACAGCAAGAAGGTGAGTACACCCAGCTCCACCTGCTGCTGCTNTAACCTCTGGGATAGAGAACAAGAAGGTCTAACTTCTGGGATACAGAACATGAAGGTTTAACCTCTGGGATAGAGAACATGAAGGTCTAACCTCTGGGATACAGAACAAGAAGGTTTAACCTCCAGAACATGTAATGTTTCAGATCAGCGTGCTGGAAAAAACAGTTAAACTGGTGAAATGTAGAATTTGTGCTGTTTGTGGTTGTTTTGTGTCTCTGAGGCTGTGTTTCTTGTATTTCATCTCCCTGAGGTCCTCCTCATTGCGTCCTCCTCGTCGCGTCCTCCTCGCCGCCTCCTCCTCGCCTCCTCGCTCCGGTGGCTCTCCTCTCGGTGCTGCTGTGGACACTCGGTGTTCTGCACTCGGAGGATTTATTCTCAGATTAACATCGAGTCGTCCATCACGACTCGAGCAGGAACGCGTCGTCTCGGCGAGTCGCTGAACCTCGGCGGTCTGAACTCGATGTCCTCGTTCCGCTGGACGCTCCTCATCATCGTCGCGACCCCGTCTGCTCCGCGGCCGATTGGGGTGACGCCCCCTTCAGCTCGGCATGATGGGAAGATGGCCGCCGTGATGGAACCAATTACAGAACGCCGGAGCCCAGAGGAGACGCCAAGGAGAGGACGGGGAGCGCACCTGGACGGGCCGGGCCGGAGGCACGCGGCACACACACAACTACACACAACTACACACAATAACACACAATAACACACAACTACACACAATAACACACAATACTACACACAATAACACACAATAACACACAACGACACACAACTACACACAATACTACACACAATAACACACAACGACACACAACTACACACAATAACACACAACTACACACAACTACACACAATAACACACAACTACACACAACTACACACAACTACACACAGAGCAATAACACAACAACACACACTAACCACAGTAACAACAACAACAACAGTCTGAAGCTGTGATGATCCTCAGATCAGGTCCTAGTTAGTAGAAACAGACTCCTCGTCTCTCCCCCGTCACTCTGAACATGTCGTCCTGTTTCTGTCTCCTGCTCTCCTCTACTTCCTGTTTCTGTCTCCTGCTCTCCTCTGAACCTCCTCCTCTACNACGGGTTGATGCAGATGTTAAAGTTGTTACAGATGTTGGACGGGTCTGTCCAGATGTGGCAGCAGCTGCAGCTGTGTTTGGGGACATGTGTGCCGTCCTTGCAGGTGCTCCAGGGGACCTTCAGGTGAGGACGTCCCACCGTTCTCTGTCACCGAGTTTACCTGCAGGTTATTTCGAGTCGAGCCAATCAGACGGCAGCTTCTGCCCGGGTGGAAACAGTTTGTGTCCTTCTCGTGTGTCGTCTCCTGTCGAAGGAGAAACGAAGCTGCAGGAGACGAACTGATCACCAGAGATGTCTGCTGAAAGGTCACAACGTGGATCTGCTGCTGGGACAGGCAGAGGCTCACCTGTCCTCACCTGTCCTCACCTGTCCTGTCCTGTCCTCACCTGTCCTGTCCTGTCCGTCCATCCTGGGTTGCGCCCAGCAGCAGCAGCAGCAGCAGCAGCAGCAGCAGCGTTGCAGCACTGCGACAGCTCTCCCTGCAGGCCTCGGAGCAGCAGCAGCATCAGTCAGCGCTGATTCATTAGATGCAGTCGTGCAGCCGGATCGTCTCTCTGCAGGAGAACCAGAACCCTGCTGCGACTCTGATCCGTCTGTCGGGATTACAGCTCGCAGCGGAACACTGTTCATCCACTTAAACCTACACAGTCCTTTATGTCTTTATCGGAGGGACACGCAGACGCCTGCTGTTCGCTCTGCTGTCGGCCTCCAGGCAACTGTAGGTGGCGCTACAGCCGCAGCACAGAGCTGCTGAGGGAACAATCCTGGACTCACACGGCCTGAAGACGTTCAGACTGATGTCCTCAAGGCCCAGAACCAGCAGCTCCCAGACACTCGACTATCGGGTCAGTCAGACGATACGACACGAACACAGAGACACGAAAAACCCAGAAACAAACCACAAAGAGACACGTCTAGATTCTAGTTCTAGTCAAATCCCAACTCAAGTCCCACCTAAAGTCCAACGAGTCTCAGTTTATGTCCAAAATAAAGGATAAAAAGTTCCAAGTCAAGACGAAAGTCAAGTCTAACAAGTCCTGATTGTAGTCCGAGTCACGTCACAGCTCAAGTCAGATGTCAGGTCCCACTTTAAGACCACAACGTCCCAAATCAGGACAACCAAGTCAACAGTCAGGTCTCAAGTCAAGTCCAGTGAGTCACATGTCAGGGAGTCCTAATCAAGTCCCACTGTAAGACCAACAAGTCTCAGGTTAGTTACCAAGACCAGGTTAATAAGTCCCAAGTCAAAAACAACAAGTCCAAAGTCAGGTCCCAAGTGAAAGCTGATGAGTCTCAAGTAAAGACCGATTAGTACCGAATCGAGTCCAAAGTCAAGACTAGTAAGTTCTGATTGTCATCGGTCTCTGGTTCAGAGTTCCAAGTCGACTCCTAGTTAAGTTCAATGAGTCACAAGTTAGATCCCGAGTTAAGGCTAAACAATTCCAAGTCAGGTCCCAAGTCTAAACTAGCAAGTCCAGAGTCAAGCACCAAATCAAGACCAACAAGTCCAAAGTCTGATTCCAAGTCACGACTAACAAGTTTTTAGTGTCGTCCTGGTCAAGTCTCACTTTAAGACCAAGTTGCAGGTAAAGACCAACAAGTCCAGAGTTGGACACCAAGCAAGGAACAGCAAGTCCCAAGTCAACAACAACAAGTCCAAAATCATGACTCAAGTCAAGGCCAACGAGTTTAACCATCAAGTCCTGAATCAAGAACCAAGTCACAGCCAGTGAGTTCAGGGTCAAGACTAACAAGTCCTGAGTGTAGTACGAGTAAAGTCTCAAGTCCAATTTTAAGACCAACAAGTCAAAAAGTCTGATCCACTCGTGTCACTTTAAGATGAAGTTCTGGATTAAATCCCAAGTCAGGACCATGAAGTCCAGAGTCGAGTCCTAAAGGGGACCCAAGACGAGACGAACAAGTCCCAAGTCAGAAAATCAGCTGATTTAATGTCTCAGCGTTTGACTCGGTGAGTTTGTTTCTACAGTGAAGACGAACATTTAAAGTCCGATTGAGAAACGAGCCTCAGCTGCTGCTACAGCTTTGGTTCTGCTGCTTACTGACCCACACAGTCAGAACCAACGGCTGCCTGATTCTGTCTCGGCTTCAACGACCTCCGAGTCACGTGACGAGTCGATTAGCAGTCAGGTGAGCAGGTGATCCGAGCTGCAGTCTGAAGGTCAGCTCGCGAGAAAACAGTCGAGCTGCCGCAAGACAGAAAACTCACTTTAACAACGAGTCACGCCGAGTCCGAAGAACCTCAACGACCCGCAGAACCTGTAACTGACTCGGTTCTCCTGGTGTCCGTCCTCCGTCTGCTCCGGTTCTGATGTTCAGATGAACTCTGGAATTTATTAAAAATGGAATATTTCTGAGTCCAGTGAGACTCAGGAGGGAGCAGGACTGGGTTCTGGTTCTGGTCTTTATTGAAGGCCTCTAACAGCAGGACTGGGTTCTGTGGCTGTGACTAACTGGGTTCTGGTTCTGGTCTTTGTTGAAGGCCTCTAACAGCAGGACTTTGTTCTGTGGCTGTGACTAACTGGGTTCTGGTTCCGTCCCGGTTTGTGTGTGGTGTGTTCCTCATCGCTATCAGCAGCTTCCTGTTTCCTCCTGCTGGTCTCGGTTCTGGTGTCTCCTGATAACCACAGCAGCTCGTCTTGAACCCGCGGCGCCTCGGACTCACCTCCTGTCTGCGAGCGGAGAGAATTAATGCGGGTCGGCCGGGCTGCAGCTCCAGCGGGCCGCGGCGCTGCTGGATTATTTATCATCGCCGCCGTTCGGCTTCCTGCCCTCGGCGCCGCCAACACAAATTGGATTTTGTCCGTCACAAAAAGTGTGTCGGAACATCCAGAAACAATGTGAACAGAGCGGTTCTGGGCGTACAAAGCGCGTCCTTCATGTGTCGTCCTGCAGTAAACCCGGACTGATAGAACCCGTCCCTGAGCTCATTCACTGGTTTATCTGCTTTATTTCCGCCCACACTGGAAGCATGAAAGCCGTCCGCCTCATTCTGCTGCTGCTTCACATCAGGCAGCCCAACAAAGAGGCTTTTGTTTAGTTGAACTGATTCACAGAACAAACATGTGAACGACCAACAGGCGCCGCAGGAACCAGCAGGAGGCGTGAAGCTGAAAGGATTCCAGGTTACCCACAACGTGGAGACCCGACAGAACGTTCTTACAGACAACGTTCACACAATGTTTCATGATAACAGAGGAAGGAAGTTT